GCCCCTACCTCTACTACCAGTACAACCACTGCCACCACCACCACCACCACCACCACCACCACCACCGCCACAACACCACCACCGCCGGCCCCACCGCCATCGCCATACACCGCCCACCGCAACCCCCACCCTATGGGCCCTTCTGCCGCCCCTGTTGTGCAGGGCCCGACTTGGGAGAGGATATTATTGCCTCAAAGCACACATTAGTGTCTTCGGACGCACTCTTGGGCCACGGCATGTTGAAGAAGCCATTGTTACGGCCCGGTGTCAAAGCCGCCGAAATGCCGGAGGCCTCATGCATGCGGCGTCCCCTACCACACTCGGATTAGGATCTCACAACTCTTCAACAACCCAGGCCTTGATAAACTCGGGCTTCACGCCGGCAATTTCCTTCCCGCGGTGTGAATATCATACACGACCAGTTTATAGAAGCAGGAGCCATGCGTCGTTTTGCTGCACTGCACAGTTGTAACAAAGCATATGTAGCAAAGCCGACATGTCCGAACTCTCGGACTTCTTAGCATGTGAATGCCTATCTAAGCCTATCTGCCTGTCCATCCATAGGTGCGAATTTAATGACACTGGGGAACAGCCGCCCTAGCTATCCACATGGTTTGCGGCACCTCCGGTGTACAGCCGCTGAGGCACAGCACCAGCAAAGCACAAAGGCCTGGCAAGATACCGCAGGACGTCTACGTAAATCTGTTGATCCTCTGCCAGCTGGACAATTTCACCGAGCCTTTGGATATCAGGGCATCTGAGTCTCCCTGGAAGCTAACGGTGCCGTCCTGGCAGTAGACTCGGGCGCCAGAATGAACTCTTCGAGCATGGCATGACTTTCCGCATCCCCGGCCTCCTCCAGCTGGGCACTCACCTGCAGAGGGGGCACAACTTCGCGCAAGCTCCTGTCCGTCTATCTTGCACGAAGCAGCGCGGAGCATGGCATGCGCAAAACACGGGTGCATTCCCTCAGGTGTTGCATGACGCTTACAACGATGCCGAAAGTTACTTCAACTGCTCCCTCCTCGTGCTTGCTGTCACCACTATCACAGAAAGACCATGATGAGATGGTCGGCTAAGGCCCCAGGCGTGCACCGTGCTCAAGCAGCCAGGGACCTGCACTTTGGAGAGGCGAGGGGATGGCATTCTTGCCGCAGGCTGTTACGAGGATCTCGGAGCCGAAACCCCGAAGCCGACACCCGAAAATCCAGTCTCTCATCGAGTTCTCAACGCCTTGTTTTCTGGAAGCTTCAGCTCCGCTGGCATTGCCGGCAGCCTGCATGATGCTTCGAGACTGACCACTACTGCTACCACTACTAATACCACTACCACTAGTTAGTACTACTAGTACTACTACTGTCGCTGTTGCTGGTGATGTTGCTGATGTTGCTGTCGCTACAACCACTACAACTACCGCAACGACCACGCTTACGACTCTACGTACGACTACGATACCATTACCACCCCCGCTGAAGTTCTCACTTCTATCACGATGCCTCATCCTCCTGGCGTTCCCACCTCCCTCATCGGCGGCGATACCATGGCAAAGAACAATCTCATCGAAGGGAACCCTTGCACCAACAAACTGTTTATGGCCCCACTTGTCACAGTCAGGCACCACGATGATGAGACTGACAAGTTCAAACGGAAATACCTTACTTGCATAGCAAAATCCGACAGCAAGCAAACCTTAATGATCTTAAATGACTAAGAAGTAACAATAACAAAAGCCTTACTCTAGCCTCTAGATGACAGAGCCACTACCACTAGCAACGACAGGAGCAACTATCGTAGCAGGACAACTCAGAGTGGGTGTCCACATGTTCGCTAACAGCAGCAACATCGGCAGACGACGAGGAGACTCTGACGTGGATCGTGAGAGAAGCCCTGCTGCAATCCGCAGCCGAAAGCATCTCTTCAGGCTCAGTAATTTAGTACCGTGAATAGCTGCGAATGGCACAAAGAATTCATACGTGTACTGACAGCCGAGGTTTGCACTTCGCAGCCAAAGCCATAAGCTGCTGGTATCCTGGGCTGGGGAGTCGAAGGCTGCTTAAAACCACCCCAACTCCAAGACTTTGGCTATCCTCGAGTTGGCTGGAATCAGCGTTTCGACTGCTGCCGCCCTTTGCATTTTTCCCCTTGCCGGGATGCTCATGCGGTCGTTTGGAAGGCCGGCTAAAGCCGAAGCCATGCCCGCAAGCTTGGGCGGCAGTCCTATGCTGCAGAGGAAGGACATCAAGGGCAAGGGTGTGTTCGGGCCGCAGGATGGTTCAGTGGCTTCAGGTTCAGGGCCGCGGCATGGGGCTGTTCAGCAACCCTGTTGGAGGATGCACCTCCAAATGCCTTCAGCTCCTTATGATGCTGCTACTGCATCATGTATGCCAGAAGCCTGCGAGGCATGGATTCACCAACCCTCAATCACCTGGACAGGTTCTGGATTAGGAGTTCATGCTACCTGAGCGGAATTCACTAGTCACTAGTCAGCGCAGTAAGAACCCCAACCCGAGGCAAATCTCCCAAGGCAGCTCCAGGAGGATACCCCGAGACTCTTCGGGCTTCATAATGACGGACACAAGTCTATGAAAGGCAACAATTGCGAGGATGATGATGACAAGAGTAGTAGTGCTGCAGGTAGCACTAACCAACTCGACAAACTTCAGAGACTTTAGTGGTGCTTGAAATCCCTGGCCCAGCATCCGTAGTCGCCGGGCTTCAGCGCCCGCAACGGTCCGGCCCCACGCCGTCGAACCTCTCATCGAAAGCAGGGCTGAGGGCATTAGGTTTTGGGTTCAAGGCGCCCCTAAGAACGATAGAAATCGCACCAGCACTGATTGCGATCCGTGGCATTCGCAAAAGGTAGAGCACTCTTAGTCTAAGTCTAAACTCATCGGGGACATGGGAAGCAGGCGATAAGAGTCCAAGAACAACCGTACTGGCTGCAAGCTGCAATGCCGACCAAGTAACTATGGTAGTAACTGCAACTAGCATTAAGACAACACAAGAGTCCCCGGGAGTAGCACGCAAACGAAATTAAAAACCATCACGGCTGAAGTTACAGTTACGTCTGAGCTGCAACTGCACGACGCAGCCCATCGCGACACCGACTCAGGCCAAGTCGAGTAAAACTTGCCAGCATGCTCAGGTGCGTTAAAGTTCAAGTTCTTGTGACAACGACTCCGAAATAGCAACTCGCAAATTGGAGCCACTGTAAAAGATCTGCCACGCAGCCTGCTGGTGCACCCATGCCAAGCACAGGGCGCTAGCACCTGACCAAAAGATATGCATCACATTCTTTCTTCGACTTTGTACTGGCGAAAGCGGAATACTCTTGCTGTCACTAAGCCGTGACAGTGCTAGCAGCGGTCGCAGTCCTCGACACTGTCGCTGTCCCAATCGCACTGTTGCTCGTAGCAAATAAAGCAATAGCGGCGTAGTAGGAATAGAAGCCGTGGCATTAGCAATAGTAGTAGCAGCAGCCGCAGTAGCAGCAGTGGCAGTAGCAGCAGTAGCCGTATATGCAAGATGCAGATGTAGATGTAGACGTAGATGTAGACATAGTTGTAGAAGAAGAAGACGTCGTCGCCGTAGTATTAGTAGCAGACGCCGCAGTAGTAGTAGTAGTAGTAGTAGTAGTAGTAGTAGTAGTAGTAGCACTAGCAGTAGGAGTAGCAGTAGTAGTAGTAGTAGTAGTAGCACTAGTAGTAGCAGTAGCAGTAGTAGTAGTAGTCGTCGTCGTCGTAGTAGTAGTAGTAGTAGTAGCAGCAGCAGCAGCAGTACTAGTAGTAGCAGTAGTAGCAGTAGTTGTAGTAGTAGCAGTAGTAGCAGCAGTAATAGCACTAGTCATCGTCAGTGGTAGTGGTCATTGACCGCGTCTACAGCACAGAGAAACGAGGCCTGCGCCCGGGCGCACGCCTGAGGCCCAGCTAGTCTCAGGCCGCCTTTCCAAGGACTGGTATATTTTCAGAGAGGGAAACGAGTTCCTGCTATATACTGTAGATGCTTGCGATTCCCGTTTTCGTTCGCGCGCAAGCATGATGTAAAATGTACTTAGTCTTCGAAGAGAAAACGCGGCTGGTATATAGTTCGGGTCTAGGCGGCAACCGGGTTTCCTCCTCCCGAGATTTTGGGTTTCACATGATGACATGCATATGTGTACATATGTATATATGCACTTAGGCAGACAGATAGACAGATAGATTGCTAGATAGGTAGAACGAGAAAGAGATAGATATCCCTATGTCCATGTGCAGACATATAGATATACATTGAACCTCTGCGGCACAACTTGCCGTGGACTGCACAGCTGAGCTTGCCATCATCAAGGGCATGTACTCCTGTATGTAACTTACTGAAGACATCCAGATCGGTGCAGTTCCCGTGCAGCTGAAGGCAGCGCGTGCTCAAAATGCGAAAGAAAGCTGCCTAGGCTGAAATCGCCCCCCCAAAGCAAAGAGCAACAGCAACAGTTTGAGAAGATCATACGAAAGCCCTGCCTCGAAGCTCGGGAAGCTCGGCTGAGTGTCGACGCAGGTGGTGCTTTGGGCGTTGCTGATACCGATAGCATGGCAGGAGACAAAGCAGAGATTGTGGCGGGAGGTGGGTGTAGATGCGTGAGTGCCAGCTTTTCACACTACAAGCAGCGGACGAAGGTGCATTTCATCCGGGAATCGAGCTAAGAGCGTTGTTCAGGCATCGCTTGGCTGGGCCGGTCCTTGCTTGGCTGATGGTTGCGGATATGGCCCATCCAAGGCACATTGACCAGGGAAATCTCTGCTCCCTTGTCGCAAAACAGCTTCGATTGCGGGGGCGGTACATTGGCTTGATGGATCAAGACGAAACGTCACGCAACTGGCATGCTACCAGCCTTTTTCACAGCGCTTGCAGGCGCTTCGAGTTTATCGTGGAGGTTTGCAGAGGGAACTGAAGGATCATGCCATGCAATGCAGTAGCAATACATGAATACATGCACCGCTTTGGCCGGAGTTCCCCCCTCAATCCTCAGGGCAGGTCTGCCGCCCCTTTGCCTCGCCTAAGGATGCGTGGCACAAAGGCTGTGAGCTCCCACATCGCGATTTCTGTCCAAGGCGTATGTGAAGCATTTGTCATGGAACTACTGCCGTACTCTAGTCCAAAAAGTAACTTGTAGAGTCGTGGTAGTGACAGGAACAGGAGCAATCGTGGTGATGTTATGCAACACTGTTCGTCGCATCCCCAAGAATTGCAACGACAAGAACCAGAAACCGGCAAAACAACGCCGGCATACATACCCTGCATTGACAACGTCTGTAGCAACATGCCATGCTACTGCTATTGTACACCATACACAACCATCGCACAGCACATTGTATTGCAATGTTCGACGGTTGTAGTGCTTGCAGTACGCTTGCTGCTTCCGGGAGCACAGTCTGACATGTCTGAGCCTGCACCGCACAACTAGGGCAGTGATAGCGAAATCCGAGTGCCACGGTTGACTGGCCTACACCATGCTGGATTCTGCCAGATTTCTGCCATCACAGCTGCTTGTCAGACAACGAGACGCAAGTCTCGACTCGAAAGGTGGCTTGAGCCTCGAGGCTACGATCAGTACTACCATCTCTGAGGTCTTGTGCGCACTTCGTGACCCCAAGCGAGAAGATACTATCAACTGAAGTTCTATTCTATTCCACTTGCAGGTGATCAGTTGGTCTGTTGCGTTCGGAGCAGTGTTAGTCTCCGCTAGGCCATGGCCGCGGCGGCCGCAGCCTGGCGGCTTCGAGCTTTACAAAAGGACCTGGAGCGAGCTCAATTGAAGCGCTTTGGCAATGCCGCGGGTCCTGGTGCACCAGGCAAGGCAGAAGATTTCTCTCTTGCTGGTTGAGAGCCTGCGCTGGGTTCGGCAAAATGAGACATGAACATCTGAAGACCACTTTTCTATTCAGCTGGTTCCAGTATTTAGCATGAGATGCTCAAGGTCCATCAGGCTTACCTGGCCAATCCTGGATAGTTACTAAACTTTCCAACAGCGCAGTGATTTTGACTGCCCGCCGGAAGCTTGATCGTAGTGATGTTCTTTGAGTCAACAAATGCAGCTGAGACTTCGAGTTTCTTCATCTCGGCTCGAAATGGGGCCCACCACAGAATCGGAAGACACCTACCTCGTCTGCTCCCATTAAACGCATGACAGTCCTCTCCATCGCATGTAACCTCGGAGCGATCAGAACATCGCTGTGCTCCACCGCTTGGACAAAAGCCATCCCCTATTGTTCTACCAGGCTCTACCAGTCAGCGTCGCCCAACGTTCTGACCCGCTGTACCCTGCCAGCGAAGTACTTTGAAGTAACCGTCCAGCCCTCAGACCCATTCCTGATCAAACCTCCGCAGACCGCGGACTGTGGTCACTGCAGATCCGGGATGTCTTGAAGGTGGGAAAACCGTGTCCGTGAAGGCACAGGGACTAAAAAAAACAGATCCGGGTGATCCGCCTGACCAGACATCGCCACCCGAGTTTCGCACATCTCATCACTTGTTTGCCTGCAGTGGAAACAGAATGAAACAGCTGCAGCAGCCAGGCAGAGTTGCTTTCAGTTCAGCTCCGGCCTTGGACATCTCCGCACCGACAAAACCGAAGATGTCCTCTTTGGCACTGTCCTGACTGCGCTCCTTCCCTTCAACTGCTAACTGCTACATCTTCTGACATCCCAAACCTTCTTCGCCCGCTTTAGGAGGAAACAGGAGCGTAAAAAACTGGTAGTTTCCTGCTTGCCCACGAGCATCCATGGGCAAATCATATAATGTCCACCCAGCCTCCATCCGTTCCCCAGATCATCCATGAGGAAAAGCCATGATAATTAACGTCCACCCAGACCGCATCCGTTTCCACGGAGCATCCATGGGCCAAAACTATGATCACGTCCAACCAGACCTCATTCATCCCTCAGAGCATCCAAGGGCCAAAGCCATGATTTCGTGCGCCCAGACCTCATCCGTTGCCCTCTGCACCCAGGGGCCAAAACCATGATAACGTCCACCCAGACATCATCTGTCCCCCCCCAGCATCCAGGGCCCAAAACAATGATAACGTTCACCCAGACCTCATCCTTCCCCCAAACCATCCATGGGTCAACCATGATAACGTCCACCTAAGCCACATTCGCTCACCAGCTCACCCATGGGTCAACCATGATTTCAACCACCGTGACCTCCTCCTTTCCCCAGAGCATCCATGGGTCAACTATGATAGCGTCCACACAGACCTCGTCCTTTCCTCAGAGCATCCATTCGCCAACTGTGACAACGGCAACCCAGACCACTGGAGCTGAAAAACCCTACACAAACTGATGACGGCAGAGGTCCCAAGACTCCCTTCCCTCGTCGTCCCATGCGAGGCCAATCCAGATCTCTTTAGAGACCGAGAAACCTCGTTGAGTTCGTGTGGAGGTACCAACTACCGCTTACGCAAGACTTCATTGAGTTTATGGCTGATATTTCCTAGTTCGTTGTGCTGTTCTGATGTCCAGATTTTTAGCCCAAATATCAGCGTATGTTTACAAAACAAAGGTTTTTGTGGGTGTTTAGACACTACTCTATGCTCTCCCATTTCTCTGGTTGTCAGCCTAGCCACCGAGCTCCGAACACGAAGTGCACAAAACCCGGACGAAAAGCACTTCGCATGCATTTAGTCTCCCGGTTTTTTGTGCGCCTGTGACCCTTTAGGAGCCCGCATCAAGCGAGAAGCTGCAAACGTCAAAACTAGACGGCGTTCCCCTCCCGAACAAGCCTGCCTCTCCGGCTGCCAAGCTCCGAGACTTTTCGTCCGGAAGCCCAGTAGCATGTGTGAAAACGACTCTCGGGACCGAACCTTCCCAACTCCAGCGAAAGCGCCCACCAAGCCATGCCCAGAACCCTCCAGCCCCATGCGTAGTTCCTTGCTTTGGTTGCCTGGTTCGTGATGAGATTTGATGAGTGATCTTGATGATAGGATCTAATCACAAAATACATCAATCCCAGGAAGTTTCTGTGTTGAAGGCTAAAAGTCTTAAAGCAATTTTGTACCCCTACCGGCCGTACCTCTTGCCAGCAGGATATTCCGTTCTGAAACCCAGGGCGATTTTCTATTTACCCTCTTCACGTTACAGTAGAATCCCACGCTGCTTCTCCTTGGGGAGCGTGGCTCCGGCGCCGAGGGTGCCGGCTTTCGCTCCTCCGATTTGGCGGCACTGAGACGCTTTCGGCAGCACCCACAAGGCACACGCCATTCCTGACTTGTCTCTGCTCAGGGTTGTTGAAAGCCAAAACAACACCCCCGTGCGGTTGAGTTGATGGCCTGGCGCAGCAGGCGCTGCCGGCGTAGCTGCTGGCGCAGATGCCGGAGCCTCAGCCAGAAGCCGTGTGGTGTTTCGCTAGGACTTTCGGCTTGGCGCCCTTGCTACACCATGGAGTCCTAGTGCCATCTTTGGAGCCCTCTGCAAATCTTCCAGTCTTTGACTTCTCATCTCAGCCCCCGGACCGGTGCAGCGTCAAGGGCAAGCCCCGCAAGCAGGCCTGCAACGCACACCGTGTGCATCTGCATCAACAGCCGAAATTTGAACAAGAGGCCGGAAGTTCAAGAACTGTAGCCTCGATTCGGGACTCTCCTGTCGAGGGTCCTAATTGCAAGACTCAACACTTCAGAGAACTACAACTCCCCAGCCTCCGCTGGGTGCGCTGGGAGCACTCAGGAGCGGATCCAGCGTGTCCTCGCACATTCACACTTAGAGCCCACAAGAATATGTGTCTGTGTGCGTATGTACAAATAGGCTCATCATATACATATACATATGCACATGTACATAGATACACAGATACATACATACATAATTACAGTCATACATAGCGAGTACACCAGCTGTCCTGAAAAGAAACGTAAGCATGACTTGAGGATGTGTTGCTTCAATGGAAGAGGTTCCGCACTCCCGCAAGCTGACAACCTATTCTGAAATTGACACGGCCTGTTTCTTCTCCACCGACTGGAATCTCTGAACCCTGTGAAGTGGGTCTGTAAGCGCCCGGCCACAAGCCCTGCAGAGGCGGGCTGCGACGGCGCAGAACTGCTGACAAGATCAGGTGTTCCGGTCGAACTTTTGTTTAGCAGCTGCAACCAGTTACGGCTACCTGCTGGGCAGTTGGGAACGATCCAAACTCTCTGAATTGATGCTTGGACCCATGCCAAACAAGCACGCCACAAAAGGCCTCTGCTCGCCGCCGAGGAGATCTGCAGACCTTGCTTACAGACAGGGGGTTGGTGTCCCGGTCTATGGTTTATGCACTCCGTTCCCTGCTTAGTGTTGCGTGGGCTGGGGATGCCGGCAGGATGTCAACCAGTGCCTTGTAGAACTGCTGTCAATCTTCTCTCTTGAAGCTGGGAGCTGTCTACCTCGTGTCATGCACTGCCAGTACGCCCTGTGGAAGTTGTCGATAATCTTGCAACCTTCTTCTGAAATCCCATCAGCTTGGTCGGATGCGGTGCGGCAGCTTGCACAGCTCCACCGCCACCCAGGAGGTCCACCTGGACTAACAAACAGCTGGGTGAACTAGTGACCAGCTGGT